CTTTTACACAATTTACAGGAATAGGTGACCCTGCAGGATGCATGACAGGTTCCATATGCGGGTCAAAAGTACTGTATTCAGGTAAGGCATCTATTAAGTAAGACAAATCATCATCTAAACGCTTTTCCAGTTTAATAATTTCAATTTTTAATATAGTCGGGTTGTATAATTCATACATCACCTCAACACCTGAAAACTTTAAGTGAAACAGGCTTTTAAATTTCAAAACGTTTTTTAATCAGGTAAAACAAACAACAAGTAGCCAATTTCTGATCTGTTTCATTGATAATCAGCGAAGTCGAAGCCAGTACATAGCAAAGCTTATTTTTGAAAACGCAAAAACAGTTCTTACCTAGGCCATCAATAACATTTCTGAGAGTGAACTGATGAAACAATCCAGGTCTTTCCCGCCTTATGCAAATCCCTAAGAATCTGTTTTGTCGATTACCCATATTCGGGTCAGCAAGGGTAACCGCAAGAAGCGAACCTGGAAATATTTGAACCCTTAAGACTTTCACTAAAAACGCCATATTCTAACGTTCTAATGAACTGTTAGTGGGTCGATAAAGTCGAAGCTCCTAGCGTACGAAAAAAAAGTGAGAACGATTAATCACTGACTAGCTGAGTTTCGCTTGACAAAGACCTAACATAAAAATTACGCAAAAGAGTTGAAAAAACTCAATGTTTAACCGTTTTAAGATGTTTTTTTAAAAACTATCATAGTTACTGAAACAATATTAACCCCACAAGTTCACAAAAAATTTATTCAGGAACTTTTTATTAGAAAATTAAAAATAAAACAGTCCAAAAAAGATCGTTTTAGTTTGGGCACAAACAAAGCTCCAATGTGCCGTTCAATGGTAATAATCAGAACAGAAGGCTCTTCTTATTATAAGACGCCTAATAGTTACATATCCAAGTGAACCATTATTTTCCAAAACTGGATGCATTAAAACGCTAAGCATAATAGCTGGCGCAAAACATTGCAACTCAAAAGAGTTCTAAAAAGTCATATTAACGACTTGCAAAACTCAATCGACCTAGCAATAGAGCAAAATTCTAATTCATAAAATAATGGCTGAAACAATAATGAATATTTGCGCTCGACTTAAAAAACTACTCTAACAGTAACTCAAACGCTTTGTTAAGACACTGATCACTATACGTTATCACTTGCAGAAACAATATTATCTAGACAAGTTTAGATGCAGGAAACAAATATTTTTCAAAATAATCATCGTCTCAAAAAAAAAGAAAAGCCATTATAATTCCAAAAACTTTCGATACATTCCGCTTATACGATAAAAAACGTAAACGCTTACAGTATCTGTTTTGTAAAATAGCAGGAAATGAAGTAGACATCTTATGTTGTTACCCTCCGCGGAACTCATAAATGCAGCGGGTTCTTGAAAAGATACAACCAACTAACATCGGATAGAAGCAAAAAAAATTACATCGATAAATCACTTACCAACATAAAATTCCGGAATATCCAAGCGAGTTCGCCTCATCAACATATCAGCCCTCTCTAGTTGTTCTTTCAGCGCATTTCTCCGGCCCACAATTGACGTTGGGACAAAATCGGGGTAAATTTTTCTGGAAATGTGAACAAGTTGCTGGGATATCTCCAAAAAAAAAGTTAATGGAAGTTCCAAAGCATAACAAAGCTTAAAGTCTTTCAGGTTGCCTAACCTCTAAAAAAACCTAACAGGAACAATATAAAACACTGACGGAAAAGCAGCAATATGCTTCATTTGTTCCACATCTGAATTTTCCTTTTGCAAACCCTTTTTCTGTTGTTGTAACAGTTCAGTCGGTTCAGCCGCCTGTGCAGCATACGAACGAGGGAAGAAGCCAGTGCTGCGGATAGGCAAGCAAAATAGAAGTCTGCGACGAAGCATAGCGCGCTGGAATAAGGCAATTGAGCATAAGAGTAAAAAAAGATGCTTTTCTAGAGCACTCTGACCAAAGTAATTAAAAATCAATTAACGTATTGCCTTGACAGAATGTCTCAACTTCAGCAAACAGTGTGCCTGCTATCAGACAAACGAACGTTACGGTACAACACGTCTGTAAAAATCCAAGCGATAATTTTTTCCCAAACCAATTGCCTCAGAACAACTGAAGTCAGCAAAAAAGTCATTCCATCGCGAACTCTACTCTTATTGGTACAGGCTTCAAGCCACAAAATTATAGCATTATTTCGGAAATTATGTGTAACACAGACGCCCAAGCAGTCTGTAAAAAACCAGAACTAATCCATCCACGAGCCAAAAAAGTTTAACTTACAGCTCTTACCAAAGATTTATGATTCACAATCGCAAAATATCCATGAAACTAGAGATGATAAATAAATATAAAAAAATTAAATAAATTTGAGGCACAGAGCGTGCAACTAACCCGTTGTGAAAAAAGCCATTCCGAAAGCGACAAGCAATGACTGCCACGGACACGGTAAAAAAGCATAATACAAGTTCATATTCAAAAAATTCGCAAGAAATATTTATTGCAGACGATGGTTGAAGCTCATCAAAGATACCCATTCTCTTTAAATGCACATCAACTTTCAAAACAATACACTACAGACAGTTTTCACCAAATTCTCCGTAAAACCAACTGCTCATGCACTTTACAAAAATGGCAACTTGGCAGCAAATACAATACCCAACAGCATGTTAACAATCTTATCATCAAATATCTATTTCTAATGCTTGCAAGAAAAGTCCCAAACCTTTGAAAATTCCATCCCACAAAAATTTACATTCAATTTAGATAACGATAAGTGCGTCTTGAACTGAAGCACTGTGACTTCGTGCAACTAAAAACTAAAAACCGGGAAGAAATCAACTAAGTAAGTAACTCAGCGTTAACAAGCCTTTCATGAAAAAGAAGCTTAATATTTGGATTAACGGCAGCAGATGACACAAAAACCAAAACATAAAAGTTGAAAGTTTTATATATATACCTGCAAGTTTTCCACACTTGAATTCACTATTGTTGAACTGCATTATTTATAAATTCCTGGTACAGGAAAGCTGCGGAATTTCGTAACAAATGAAATAAAACAATGTAACAAAACAAAACCCGTATTCAATATAACGACAATTTTTTAGCAGTCATACAAAGAATTACATGTGTTCACACCTAACCAACAACAAAAACTGAATATACCTGAAAAAATTTTTAAAGCTTTCCTGAAATCCTTAGAGCAGAGAAATCCTTATAAACAACAATTACTAGAGATATTCATTAAAAGGGGAAGAATGATCTGAATCCCATTCACTAGAATCCTCTTCTTCATAATCAATGAAAGCCGCAGAAGAGATGTAAAGGTGGTTTGCAGTAGGAACTCCCTGAGGTTCAACAGGATTAGAGTTAACACTATGTTCATCTTTGAATGAAACAAAAGAATAGCAGAGAGGACACACCTAAAATTAACCAAATTTATTGATCTACTATTAGAAGACATAAAAACTAATAAAATTAATTGTTAATAAGAAATATCTCTTATTTTACTATCCTCAAACTGCGCTGACTCCTATCCATTCGACAATAAACAGCGCAATAAAGTAAAATCTCAAAAACAAGCCAAGCTCTTGCTGCAAAACGAAAAATTTTTACTTGCTTAACACTAAGCCATTTTTTTAGGCATCCTCCATGAAAAAAATGATTGCACGGCGTAACTCTCGCTTCAAAACGCATCTCTTCACAGCATATGGCACACATATCCTTTTTCTTTTGAAGAATCAGCGGCGAAGCACGTGGTAACCTAGACAGACTTTGTACTGCAGCACGTCGAGTTCTCAACTCCATTATAATTTTCTGCATCCGTTGCCAAATATTAAAATATGCGTGAAAGACTAATACCAAAAAGCTAACCAACGACCACTGTTCTAAAAAAACTCAGGAAAGAAAAATCCGATCGAAAGCTAAACTTTTATAAAAAAAGAAGATTTCTGGAATAATGTTGAAAAAAATTCTAAAAAACTGAAAAGCCAGTGTAAATTATGAATTACATTAGAAATTGCATAGAAAATAACAAATCCAAGGTAGTGATTGTTACCATTGGAAAAAATAAATAAGCAAATAAAAAAACTTGCAAAAAATCACGAAAATCACATAAAGCGTCACAAAATTTTCAACTGAGCTCCATCAAAAAATTACAACTAAAACAATTAAAAAATCGCTCCCATCTAGAATAGTTCTAATTCAGATAAATTTTAAAAAGGTTAAAACAACATTTTTTCGCATAAAACGCTTTGAAAAAGTATAATTTAAATCATTGAGCTCAGATATCAATACCACTTACTGACAAAAAATGAGAATGTGCCGTAACACAAGATAAATGTGGCAAAACAAAACTCCAGTATTCTTGTCGCCATCTTTACGAGAAAAATCATCCCATCGCAAGGCTCCCAAAACTCAGGTAAACGAGTTTCTACCACAGTTAATGCATACAAAAGAACAACTGATAAAGTTCGAAGAGCCGTTAGAACGCTATCTGAACCGATGATCACGCACCTAAAGTCGAAAGATATTTTTAACAAACGTATCACCGTTGGAAGTGGACCAGATTAGAAGGCTGCACTGAAGTATCAGTATTAGTTACTCAACAGTTGTACTTTGCAACAAAGCTTCCACTGTCTCACTGTTAAACATTTTCAAAAACTAAAAAATAATATATACCACAAGTCAATGGGCAAATAATTGGTGATCACAACAGTTATTGCAATGGACAACGTGAAAAGGACTGCAGCAAGGAACAGTGAAGACAAGTGACTTTCGAAGAATAGATTTGGAATAGCGCCAAGCTCCAGAAGACGTGATTCCAGAAGTTCATAAAGCGATTGTAGCAGCGAAGAAACAACTTCAAAAAGTGTAATTAAAATTCATTGCAATATTGGTTCTCCTAAACTAGTTTTATCTAAATTAAGAAAGCCACCACATACCGATCAGAAGCACAAGTCCCAGCAAAAAAGCTTTCTGTTCTCGAGACATTGCCAGAAAACCAGTTTGCGAAAAGAGCAGTACCAAAACAAGAACCTGTAAAAAGAAGACAATTTGCAAACATTTTTTATATGAAGGAAAAAGTAAAAATATGTAAAACAAATAAAAACTAGAAGGTAAGTCTTTAAAGAGGAAGTAGAATTACACTGGTTGATTTGATTTTTATTCTGCTTATAAATCTAAATTGCACGTGTTTTTTTAATTTAATTTTTAACTACTAGTAATAAGCAGTCTTCGAAAAAAACAAGTTACAACCAAAATAAGTCAGAATCCCAAAAACCATTTTAACCAAAAGAAAGAGAAGCTCTACAGCTGTGAAGAATGTTAAAATTTCAGAATTTCAATATCCAAGAAGAATTGAACAATTTTTGGTTGAAGCTTTGCGTACCTCCATGTATCCTGTATGAACAAGAAAGTGGCTGCTTTCGTGAATACCACCAATAGCCCAACGCGAAAAATTAATTACAAGGCTACATCCGTACCTAACTGTTAATGCAAGTGCAAGTAGAGAAAGTGGGGTGCTTGTACTCTCTGCAATTGCCGAGAGTGCCAAGATGCCTAATTTTGCCAAATCTACCGGCCGATCAGCCACGTTTACATACATCTGAACCAGAAAAATAAATAGCCAAGCAAAAGAAAGAAGTTCTCCGAAATGTAAGTTATGCCAGATAGTTACCGCACCTAAAACATTGTTAAAATGTCATAGCAGTTAATAGGGAGAGATAAAATCTTAAATTTAGGACTATTTCAGCTCGCTCGTTAGAAGAAATGGCTTTTTTTGTTTATACCTCCGTATGCAACATCAACGTCTATCAAGTCACTCTAAGCCCCCGCACTGCTGATACTGCCAAAAGCAAGAAACAATAAAAAATCAAACCAGTTTAACAAATGAGAGATAAAAAGCGTGAATTTTAAAAAAGTTTTAAAACAAATGCCCCTAATTAATCTAGAAAATCTAATATTTCCTTTTCTTTTGCATAACCGCTTCAAAGATTATATAAGAGGAAGATCAGAAACTGATTTATAGATTTCTAATAAGCAGTTCAGTTATCTAATAATGCAAGATACAGGTTAGTGACCTTACGGCAAAGAAACTACCCTCTTTAAAGCAGAGGATCATACCAGTAAAAATAATGGTGACGATAAATTTCACGGAAACAACAATAGTAATGCTTAACTCCTATATTATATTGCTATCAGCACCACAGTGCAACTAGTCATAGTTTTTTTTTTCAAAAACAAAAAACTTGCATTCCGAAGTAATATAAAAAGACACCCAGTTCTGTAAGGCGCAAAGACCTTGTCGCATGATAGAGCTGCACTTCAAGCATATTCCTTTTAGTAATGATTAATAAACTCTTGTTAAAAATGCTTTGGTTAATGCCAACGAATGACAAGGTAAACGAATAACCGAATAAGGATCAGAGAAGTGCATAACACTGCAGGCACATCACGCGACACAAACTACGCTGTAACTGGAGAAAAGAAAATTGGTACTACAAATTTTAAAGAAACTAACACCGCTGTTAACACGAATATTATGCTTAACCGAAGTTTAGAAGAACTCATTAAGGAAAGAAATGGTTGCGAAATTGTAAAGGTCTACCGACGTGAGAATGGTGATCTAAAACTTAAAAAAAACAGGAAAGCTTTAGTTGACCTTCAAACTCAAAAATATTACTTGTACAGTCATATTTGCTGAATACTTAACAACAACTAATTAAGAAAAAAAAAATCCTAAAGAAGCTTTGAAGTTAGTCTGTTTATATCCTTTTAAAAAATTTACAGCTATGGCGATTCACTAAATGCCTTATTTTTCACAGATAAAGGAAAGAGAATAGATTTTAATAAGCATTAAAACAACCTTCAATGATGCCGTGACTCGTGATGACGTTCTTCAGTGCTTGACAAGACTGTCGTAGACAGTTTAAAATTTTTGGAGCTCGATTCAGAACATAAACAAATATATTTAACATAGCTAAGGAACAGGCTAAATTATGCGCTAACATCAGAAGTCCTAAAGGCATTCCAGACATGCGAAGAAAAATTGGTAAGAGAAATACTGATAACATAATCCTCTCAAAATCGCTTTCTAAGCCCAACAAACAGCTCTGTGCCAGACAGAGCATGAGCTGAAATATTTCTTTAGATTAAACTATCTTGTCTGAACAAAACGTAAGAGTATACTGCCACTTCATACCTTAAAATTAGATCATTTCTAGTCAGAATTGAAAACAATTCTATGTGAGGGGACTTTTAGATGCCTGCTTTTTCAAACAGATCGAAGAAAAAACACACTAACCTGCGCTAAGATATGTGAACCGTGCCATTCAAGTTTGCAAACCTCATCTAACTGGAGTTCACCTTCACTGTCCTGCTCAGCCCTGACATATCGGATCGACAAGTAATGAGCGAAGCCAAAGAGAAACAAAGAAAGAAAGTGGGCGTAGACAGACAATAACTTCTTCAGCGGAAGAGATAGGAATATTGAAAACAAAGTCACAACTAAAAAATTATAGACGTATTGCACTTTTTTAAAACAGTACTGTGGCAAAGGGCAAAATATTTTGAATCTCAGAAGCTGGCTTGTCTAGAATAATCCAAATGGGACTTACCCGCGTAGCTCAAAATGACAGAAGCTGATTGATCGAAATTTCTTGTCTGAATAAACTGAATAATTTTGTTCATCTCAAGGTAAGAAGATAACGGCGATTTTTGTAAAACTTCAGGAGTCATATGAACATCTTTATTACGCCACCAAATCTCTAACAGTAACACTCCTGGCAACCTTAAGGCTACCTCCGAGAAATTCTTCAAAATGATTCGGAACCGTTCATTCATTACAGTGGTATCGTTAAAGCGTTGTTCATTCATAATCGCAAGAATTTAAATCATTGTAAGAAGTGCTTCCTGAATATATTTATCATTCTTTCAAACAACAACTGCAGCAGTAAATGAACACTTACGCACGATACGTCGAGAATGAGTGGAAAATCAGACATTTTAAACAAAGAACCTTCTTGTATCAGTCAACATAGAGAAATGTAAAGTGTTAATAAGAAATTAATCACTGGTCCAAATATACAAACATAGCACAGCGTTAAGTACCAATATAAAAAGTCGAATCATTTAGCTGTATAACTACTACCGAAAGAACAAATTCCCAAGAGTCTTATGAAATATTTTCCTTTCTCAAGCATTAAAAGTAAAATAAATTAACCCTGCTGAAAAATATTACTGTACTGCTCAGACAGTTCAACCTCATATCTTTTCAGACTTACAACCACTAACGAATCCTCCTCAAGAACTGCAGGGGCAAAACTCAGTGAGGGTTCTACTAGTAAGATGGGCATCTGAAAATTCATTGAGTTTCTTTTGGTTTAAAGGAGCACAATTTCAATAAATGGACCAAAGAAATACTAGCCTTTTTATAACATCAATAGAAAGTGGAAAATTATAATGTGAAATGGCTTGCACTCGACAGAATCCTTCTTAATCCTTTTTCTGGTTTAAAACAGCGTAAAATACAGTGGAAGTGGAGAATAAAAAAAAGAAAAAAAAAAGAAAAAACGAACGAAATGAGCAAAACTTCTGTAGTGCATTTTATTCTAACGACCAATTCTCCGCAAATTTGGATGGCACGACCAACAACATCTGGTAGCCATTTGCAAGTTTTTTGTCCGCAAACTCAACAAAATCACTGATTAAGGCAGGTTCAGATAATTTTGAATCAAAATTAAAGTAACCACAACTACCAACGCGCCGTACAGCAAACCAATGACGACCGCGCCAAAACGGAATAAAACTAGACGTTGGAGGAGTATTGAAGACAAATCCAAGTACCTTATCCATATCAATTATTGAGGCAGAACGACGAGCATCAAACCTAAAACAACATTTCCATACGTTTAGATCCTAATCACTGTATAAACAAAAAAACCCTTTGTATAGTTAACCATCTTCCTATGCTTTATTTAAACTTATTTAAATGCTAACAGATAACAGCAATAGCCCTACAAATTAAACTAATAAATAAACATACAAATTTTAATAAAAGATTATTAAGATTATTAAAATTTACCATACAACGGAACAATCACGAGTTTCCAGTGCAGCAAAGAGTACGTTAACATCGTAATTTCCAGTTCCCCATATTGATCGATGCTTATTGAACCAGTAAGAAGAATGTAGATTTTCAGCAATCGAATCTAAATCACTTTTTGAAAACTCTTTTCTTTGAAACAGACTGTTTAGTGTGTGCAACAGACACAGCTGTAAATGCTGTTTTTCATGATACAATGACAAGTTGGAACTTGATGCAACATTGTCGACTTCAAAATCTGCTTCATTCATAACCTGAAAAGAAAAGAAGAAAAAAAATGGCGAATAATCCGGTCAAAAAAAAAAAAAAAAAAAAAAAAAAAAAAA